TATATTACGTGCAGATTAAATCTTAATGCGGATCTGTTTGTTTCTCACCCGGCCATGACGGCACCGACTGCAGAGAAGAACCATTCAGCTGAGTTGAATCCTAGTATTGCCACTCCATGGAATCGCTCTAAACCCAGCTACACACAACAAGAAAACGCTGGTCTTTTCCTTTTTTTAAAATCTGACCATTTGTAGTGTCATTTTTACGTTTATTTTTGAATGATATACCTTGATAAAGCTGCGGGCTGCTGTCCGGCAGAATTGATAATACTCTAAAAAAGTGATCTTTTCCCACTTGTTGTTCTTCTTGCTGGCGAGGGCATGCATGTTTCCGTATTTTTCAACTGAGGCTTTGAACATTTGGTGAACTGTGATGGGTTCGTCTGGACATCCTTCTTCTATCCTCAGCCTGACTGAGCTTGTAGCATCACTGGTCCAATGGGAATGAGCTGGAGCAAGAGATGAGCTGGCAAACTCCTCTTCTATGTTTTTGTTTCCTGCGGTGAGAAAAAAAAAAAATCAAATCTAAATAAAAACAAATGCAGTCCTTTCACAGAGGTAGACAATCTAGTTCTGCTCATGTACATGTTCCACCATGATCTCAGCCTCACAGTAGAGGTCCTCTCATTCAGCAGAGCCATGTGCTCATAACTCACCTACAGAGACGAGTTCTTCGCTGTCCGTCTGCACGTGTGCCATGGACTCCTGAGCTCCCGCACTGACACACACAAACACAGAGGAAACATGGACTGCAAACAGCTCATATACACTCCAGCTCAGATTCTGGCAGCGGTTTATGTTGCCGTTTTCATTTCATCACATGGGTCTAATTTTTCAGCGGCATTGTTTAGCCAACACAATGTGAGGCTTGTGGCACAGCTAAAGCCCCCTTGCTTTGTCCGACAGAGTTTATTCAATGAAAGCAAAAAGACTGTTCACTCCAACTCATTAACAATACTGTTTTCATTGACATTACTTGCGTTACAAAACAGAGTGAACTGTTAAATTAGATTACATTGAATTTGAGATTTATGTTTATAAAGAGGTGGCAAAGGGCGATTTCATATTATAATAGCATGTTTATTTAACAACCTGGGCAAAAGTGATGACACACTGAAGGGTACAGAATAATCTTGACAAAAATCTTGTTTAGGTGTCACCACGCTTTTGCGTTGTGGGGAGCTTGCATGCAATTCAACTGAAAACTGTTAGAATCTATTACACAGCCAGTAGTGGGATGAAACCAAGTACATTTACTCAAGTACTGTCCTTAAGTACAAGTGTGAGGTACTTATACTTTTTCCATTTTATGTAACTTTATGCTTCTACTGCACCTCAGAGGCCAGAACTGTCATTTTTCCACCACTTCATTACACATTTGACATATTAAGTTACTCTTTATATCTTTTTTCAAATCCTTCCTGTCCAGTGAAAGTCATACATCTCCAAATTTGGTGATTTTGAATGCATTCTTTTCTGATCACAAGTATACATCCCTATATTGGTTGAGAACATTCTCATGCTTCATAAGCTGTATAAACTATTTAAATATTAAAACCCCCTCACTTATCTTATTTTTTATACTTAAATCTCTTCTATTTTTCTTTTTTTTTTGCTCTTTATTTTGTACTTTATTATATATGGCACTGAAGGAGCTGCTCTCAATCTCATTGTACAAGTGTATAGTGACAATAAAGGCATTCTATTCTATTCTACTTAGCTGGGAAGTGCATCAACACATAGCTGAAGACAGAATAGCAATGCTTCAAACATATGATGATCTCACAAATTATGATGCATTGCTAAAATAAACTACCCAGGAGTAAAGTAGTTCAAACTAGCTCAACATTTACCACCTACAGCAGTAAAATACAGCATACATATTAATGCAGCAATAATATAAACCCAAAAAATACAACATACAATTGCAAAACGCTAACATGAAACATTTTCCTGCAGAATAAATACTTTTACTTTTGCTACTTTAAATACATTTTTTTCCTAATGTACAGTGTTGACTGCATGATGAAGTTGAGTGGCTTTGACTCAGCAGAAATGACAAAAATAGAGAGAACTTCAGTTTGATTGATATTGTCTCAGGTAGACGATGGAAAAGTGGGTTTTCTGAAGGTTTGTGAAGACGGAGTTATCTGTTTTTGCAAATGAACTCTTCATTTTCAAAGTATGCGATTCCTACTTTTACCTACGTAAAGGATCGGAGTACTTCTTCCAACACGGTCCATAATATAGTAATAAAGTGTTCACTTCTTCTACCAGTACTGGTGTAGTTTAAACTAAAGAAACAAGTTGCTTACCTGTCCTCAAGTTGGTCAATGACCTTCTTTTCTTCAGGAAACACCATCCTGCTGGCTGTAGATCTCCTGCTGGTTTGGCAATGTTGGATAAGTCCTCAGAACTCGTTCAAAGGAGACGCATTTCACATTCCAACTGATGTGAACCAAATAACGTTTCTTGCTGGACAAGTACTCCTTTAATAACAAATGTTTTCAGCGGACTAAGACGACGTGCAGACCAACAAGAAGTCTCATGAAGTCATCAATGGTAGTGAAACAAATCAAAAAGACCATGTGTGCACTGCATTGGACCACTCGCTCAAAGCCATGTCCTGAATTTCAATGAGCTCTTTCTTTTCATGTGTAAAACAGTTCCCTTATATAACCCTTCTCACATCACACACTGATAGGTGAAAAAAACAAAACATTTCATTTTTACCTTCAGTTCTGATAAAGCTTCATCTAAATGAGTTAGATTTTAGATGGATGTGTTTTGACATCCCAAAAGTTTGAGTTTCTTACTTACAGTCCTTTAACACGTGCAGCTGTGAATTAAATATCTACAAGAAGCAATAATGAGACAAATGTATTAAATGTGGGACTTACACAATCATATTTCTAACCACTAGTGAGCAGTTATACTATTTCTTGCCCTTGTGCAACAAGTAATTTTCCCTCTGGGTTATTGTCTCTCTGTCTCTCACAGTCGTGGCTGAAAGTTGGAGAACTTGTACAATATTGTAAAGCTATAATCCCATAAATCATGAAGATGTTCAATTTCTTTGATTGCTTTTTTATTCAGTTTTTAAAAACATGGAATCAATATGTTAAACAGTTTTCCAAGTTCACATAGGAGTTAGCAAAACTAGGGGAAAACAGTGGCTCTATATAGTATAGATATTTTACCACTTACATTTTTACACCCTGTACAAACTAGACATTTTTCACACTACTATGCACTCACCTCAGCATTTTGGATTTTATTTTCCTTTTAATCTCTCCTGTCTGCTCAATGCAAGCACAGCCTGCAGTTCAGTAGAAAAAGTTTTTTAGACTGAGGTCACTCCAGGCTTCTTGGTTGCACTGAGGAGCACTTTTTTTTTTATATACTGGAACAAGAGATTATTTTTGGCATTTAAAAAAAAAAAAAAGACATTTAGAACAAATTTTTATGGAATGTCACAATTTTTGATCTCTAATTTTTAATTGTTGATTCCATTGATTCCATTTCCTGAAGTTGAGAAAATCGATGATTCTTTCTGTTTTTATAGGCTCTGGCTGATATTTGGTGTAATTTTGCCAATGTTTTAATATACAACATGCCTTTCAAACCAACTGACACATTTTGGGGTTCAGAGGGTTATTAACATGTAATCCTGTGGCAAACATACATGTAAACATCACAGCCACATAATATGTTACTGTACAAGTCTGATCCAGTCTGATCTGGTAAAAAAAAAAAAAAGTTTTCTTTTCAGATCATTAATTTGTAAAATAGAATAGCAAAGTACATCAGAATGCAATTTCTTGACTCTAATTCAATAAATAATTAATTTGTTCAAACTTTGTTTAAACTCAGAATGCATTGAGGTAGGAAGGCCTTATTTACAGTGTAGTAGAGAGTTGCAATAGAGAATAGCAAGGGGATAAAAGATGTTGGCACACAAGTCAACTCGGACAACAATAAAATAATTAAAAGGCAAAGTAAGCAAACTAAAAAAGTTTAAGTTAAAAAAAAAAAAAAAAAGACTAAGACAAGAGCAGCTGAAAGTTAAATAGAACCTGAATTGCCTGAAGATTAAAAATGAGTCAAGCTTTAGGTTATTTTGTAAATTCTTCCATGCTGAATATGCAGTAAAACCAGATTTTCCAGGTTCAGTAAAATCAGCAGCATAATCCAGTCAGTTAACCCTTACATACTGTTTCAGGTCAAATTGAACCAGTTTTGACTTTTGACAGCAGTAAAAATACCCTGAACACCATTCGCTTAGCCTGAAATTTGAAGATGTTTCCTAAAGTGACCCAAAATACACAAAAATGAAAATAGTTCAAAATTTTACACTTTGCTATAAATGCTTTCAGACTGAGCCTGTTACGGATCAGATTTTACCTGCATCCATTGAGATGGATTTTAGATCTAGCAGTGTGGGTCAAACCAAAGGAAAATGTTGGTTTTACAGAATCTTGAAACTGTTTTAAGTCGTATTTATTAACATTTATTAATGTCATATAGGCTGTTCAGACGTTCTAAATAGGAACGCTTCACAGTATGGGCCGAACCATACTGTGAGGGCATAAAATATGAACAGTGAGGGTTGGGCTTGCATTGTAAGGGCACACATTAAACATATAGACATGGATTTCAACTACTACACAATACAATAGAATGTCTGCAAATTAGTTATAAGTCGTGCTTTTTGTGTGCAACCTAAATATTTCCAGTCACCCTTTCTGGGCACCCCTGTGGAAAATATGTGGAGGCGCCCCTGTACGGTACTATAAGAGCAACAGTGCACCAAACGAGTTATAGCTGTTTAATACAAAATGCTTATGAACCCACTGACATGCCGCCCTTCAATTAACCCTATAATTAAACAGGGTTGTATAATCTTATAACTAAAGCACATCAAACTCAGAACCGAATCTAGAAACCTCCACCCCTCCTCCCTCTGTGAGCTGCTCAGGTCTCCCTAACGTCCGGCCCCTCCAGTCAGAGCTCTCCAGAAACTTCTGCACCGGCTATAAGAGCCAGCCATCTTCCCCCAGCAACCACACAGCCGCTCGGGCAAAAGCTTGGATAACCGACACCGACAAAGTAAGTATTTAACTCCGCAATTTGAGGGAACATTTAGCGACACGGACACAAAATGGTAGCGGTTTAATTCAAGCTTAATGAGAGTTAGTTCGTGGTTGACATGAGGCTTTAACACACGTGCTGCCTCTCTGTGTGAGCCATGTGTTAGCTTACTGTGCTTTAGCCACAGGTTGATTTTTAAGAGTAATTAAGCTAAGCTAGCATAGCACTCAAGCTAATGGGAACTTTATTTTGGTGATTCTAGCTAACGGTACGGCTCTGGGTAATCTTAGCCAACGGTAATACTCGACCTGTGGCTACTTTAGGATCCTAAAATCACTGACAAAATAATAAGTAGTAGCCATGTTTGATATGTTGGTGTGTTTTCTGTATTATTTCAGACCAAAGTCACCATGGTTCACGAAACCGGCTACTACGATCTGCTGGGTGTCAGCCCCAAAGCCTCGCCGGAGGAAATCAAGAAAGCGTACAGAAAGCTGGCGTTGAAATACCACCCTGACAAGAACCCCAACGAAGGAGAAAGAGTGAGCCACATTTAGAGACCTTTTACTGTGTCCCCCCTGCAGCCGTTTATGGACCGACAGAAAGGCTCTGTCTAATTTTAAACCCGCGCACGCCATGTTTAAACGGGCAGCGGGAAAGTTCTGGAAAGCTCTGGTGTGTAGGTAGAGGAAGGTCCGCCCTGTCACAGCAGGGGAGCGGTCTCAGGTTACACTGTCAGGAGGCTGGGAAATTTATGTTTTAGTCAGTGTCATCACCGTTAATTACATCACACGTGTATATTATGTAACCCTGGTAAAGCCTCTAAGCCAAGAAATATGATATATCATTAGCACTTGATTGATTGTAGTTTTTTAAAATGTGACTTAGAAGTCATTTTTTATTTTCACAGTTCAAGCACATATCTCAAGCATATGATGTGCTGTCAGATCCAAACAAGAGAGATTTGTATGACCAAGGAGGGGAACAAGCTATCAAAGAGGGAGGAACTGGAGGCTCTAATCCCATGGACATTTTCTCCGCTTTCTTTGGAGGTGGAGGACGGATGCAGAGAGAGAGAAGGGGTACGATTTGTTCAGTAACAGTTTTTAGGAATTTAAGCTAGATGCTATTTGTAGAGTACACATTCCTACATCTATAATATTTCTTACACATTTTTCCTACAGGGAAGAACGTTGTCCACCAGCTTAGTGTTACCCTGGAGGAGATGTACAATGGTTCAACTAGGAAGCTGGGACTCCAAAAGAATGTCATTTGTGAAAAGTGTGAAGGTAAGTCTTGTGATTTGAAAAAAAACACCAAACATCCCAGTAATACTAAGATGTGTGCAGCTGTATGGATAAAAAAAAATGTTGTTTTTTTAAAAAATCACAGGTTATGGGGGTAAGAAGGGTGCCTTGGAGAAATGCTCGTCTTGCAAAGGAAGAGGAGTACAAGTCAGAGTGCAACAGATCGGACCAGGCATGATTCAGCAGACCCAAAGCATGTGTTCAGACTGCCAGGGACAGGGCGAGAAATTTAGCTCCAAGGACCGCTGCAAGAACTGCAACGGACACAAAGTAGAACGCAAGAAGAAAATTCTAGAAGTTCACATTGACAAAGGTAAGTTTTTTTTTGGTTTTTTTGTTTATCATTATCTAAGGCATTCATTTGTTTGTTTTAAATAGTAGTAAATCTGTGCTCTAAAGCAAATTAAACTCAAAATAAATGTGTCGTGCAGGTATGAAAGATGGTCAGAGAATTACATTCCACGGAGAAGGTGACCAGGAACCTGGACTGGAGCCCGGGGATGTAATCATTGTCCTGGACCAGAAGGAGCACCCAGTTTTCAAGAGACAAGAGGATAATTTAATAATAAACGTGAACATTAGACTTGTTGAGGCCCTGTGTGGTTTCAAGAAGAGCATTCAGACATTGGATGACAGAACACTCATCATGACCTCACAGCCAGGTAGGCGCCTTACATCGGTTGGCATAGAGGGCTGATTTTTCTGGTGTTTTGAATATTTTTTTTATCATACAGATTTCATGAACATCTGTATTTTTGTCAACAGGTGAAGTCATCAAGCCCAACGACATCAAGTCGATTCAGAATGAGGGCATGCCACTTTACAAGGAACCTTATGAAAAGGGACAACTTATTGTTCACTTCCAGGTAAGACACAAAACTTTTGACCAGTTTGACACAATTCTGGATTTAAGCCTATTATGTTGTAGAGAAAACATGCAATCCAGCTAACTGCAACTTATCCTGCAGGTGGAATTCCCAGAGAAGGACTGGCTCCCAGAGCATCTAATGTACCAGCTGGAAAGACTGCTTCCTCCCAGAGACGATATGATAATTACTGATGAAATGGAGGAGGTGGACCTCTGTGACGTAGATGTGCACACACAGCAGAAAACATACAGTGGGGAAGCTTATGAAGAAGATGACGATGAAAGTCCCAGAAGTGGTGTTCAATGTCAGACACAGTGATTGCAGTCCATGATGCAAACACTGTATGAAGTGTGTCTGGGTTTTTGTTGATGATCTACTTCTTTTATGTTTGTTTTGTAAAAGACATTCAACCCATATCTTTAAAATCCCTCCTCCATAGGGTAATGCACTGTAAATGTGTGGCATTCAGTTTCAAACCGTTACCAATTTTGTGGTATATTCTGGGGACATGGATCTGCAAGTCAAGTACTGTTCTCCCAATGTTATCAAAACTGTATTTTGGTGTTACTGTCATATGTTGTCTATTTAAGATCTGTATGTGTGTGTTTCTTATGAAATCACAAATGTTCCCTTTTCATACAGAAGCTGAAAGGGCTACTTGTATGCTTTCTGTGAAGGTAATTTCAGTCAGAACACTTCTGGTTATTTGTCAATGAAAGTCTCAGAATGCTTCAACTTTTGTGAGTTTGTCTTTATTATCTGAATGAGATTTTACTTCTAAGTATCTTTCTAAAAATGTTCCGACTAAAAGTCTATAAATTTATCTTAAAAGCTGGACATCTGTACAATGACACATCTTGTCATTAAATGCACAGCACATTGTAATCAAAGAGGAAAAAAGGGATTTATGAAAAGCATGACTTCATAACAGACATGATTGACAGCATAGGTCCCCTTTAGTGTTGCTTCCTCCTGAAAGAGCAACCTGGAGAACAAAAACCACAATAAGTTAAGACTGCATTCCTCAAAGACGGTAATATGTACAGCTAAATGTAGTGATAATCAGCTTTATACACATTTATACCTTGACTGCTTGTGCTAAAAACACTTGTGAAACATTTTTGGATATCTTACCCTCTGTCAGTCTGGCCTTTCCTCCTTTTGGCTGGCACAACACTGTTGAGCATCCCACACAGAGCACCACTGTCTGTGCATGACTGAACACAGTGGTGATCTTGTAGCAGCCTGTGGACGAACAGTGTCAAACTGTTAAACAACAGGTCCGGCATACGTCGCAAATGCATTTAAAAGTTTCCAAAAATGCCAGGTATGTGAAATGTGGTCAAGTCACCGCAAAAAAAACATGACAAAGAAGGCCACCAAAAACCTGGACTGGAGCCTGGAAATGTAATTGTTGTGTTGGATCTTAACATCCAGCCAGCAAGAGCCAAGATGATAATTTAATTAGAAAGGTCAACATAAAACTTGTTGAGGCAATGTGTAGTTTAGACTACAGAATGCTTGTCATGAGCTCACAGCCGTGTAAGTACCTCATGTCAGCTGCGCTCATGTGCTGACTTGCATTTTGGTTTTTAATTAGGTCTTAACTGTTTTTAATACAGATGTCATGAACCTGTGCATTTCTATTAACGGGAGATAATCCAACACACAATGTGTGACCAAACAAATGGCCTTAAGTCAATGCATCAAACCTTCAGCTGCATCTACTCTTGATTTTAGAGCATGCACTCTTCATGTACCTGGGCACTTCACGTCCATGAAGTAGGAGTTGGGTATCTGAACAAGTCTCTTCTTTTTATGTTGTCTTCTCTCATATTCAATCGCAGGGTGGAGGAGGTCTTTGGCTAGCTGGAATGTAGAATTGTGCAAACAATTAGTCACGTTTCATCTGATGAGACAGCTTTCAGTAGGTAAACAGCAGTCAGATTTACTTAACTGAAGGAGGGCAATAGTGATGTTAGAGGATTTAGTATAATAGAGCTATCTAATCAAAGCACAACACTTGAGATCTCGCTTGCAAATGTCTTGGTAGGTACAATTCTCCTGTGAGGAGAGGTAATTTATGTGCCAAATAACTGGCTAACGTTTTTGCAGTACCATGAGCGATGACAACACATGGCACCTTGGGCAAACAATGTATTTTTTCAAGTAAAAGTAGTGCTAAAATTTAGTTAAGAAGAGGGGCCTTGAAAGAAAACAGGTACCGACTACTTCTTGGCCCGACATTACTCCGCTACAGGTTACACGGCACAGCCGTTTAATACCGTTGTGTTCCAGCAACTAGTCGTCGCCCGAGTCAGACAGCTACGTTAGCTAACGACCACTCCATGTGCTGCTGCAGCAACTTATCAACAAACAACAACTTTCAGGCTTCACACCGCGAACAAAAAATGCAGCGTTTGACGGCCGGGACTCGACAGCAACATGCACGGATAGCTGACAATACAGCATACGAATTCAGACAGAGAAATTTACCACAAAACATTGCAACTTACAGGCATTTTCGCCGTGCTAGCTGGGCTCGGTGCATACGTGTGGTGATTGGACGGAAACAGAAACTGTGGTAGTCAAACAAAGGGGGCTGCGATAGTCAAATCGATAAGGACAGCTTAAAGCGTGAGATAAAACTTGGTTAAAGGGTTTAAACATTTTTTTCCTTTATCGTTTTATCACAGTTTCCACGTGTCATTCGTGATTAAAACTTGTCAGCGTCGAATAATATCAAAATTGTAAGAGATTTTGTGAAACCTTTTTCAGACGCCTCCAGTGTTTTTGTGCTGTTTGGCAAACTGTTTGTGACAAATGATAATAACAAATTAATCAGCGCAGGGGGAAAGTAATATTAAACCAAACTTTATGGCTTAATTTCTTCTGTTTGTGCAAGATATGACGTTGTTTAAAAAAACTCTCTAAACTACACGACCCACAATGCACAGCGCAACGTGACGTCACTGTCCTCGGCACCGGTCTGCTGCCAGTCTGCCCGAATCTGCAACAGACAGCCGAGGATTTCCAGGCGGGGTATGCCGGCTCGTTACGGCCTTATAACATCGGAAACGGAGAGCACAGTTTGTTTAAATGGCGAAAACGTACGATTATCTGTTTAAACTGTTGCTCATCGGAGACAGCGGAGTGGGCAAGACATGTCTGCTGTTCAGATTCAGCGAGGACTCCTTCAACACCACCTTCATATCCACAATAGGTGAGTAGCCTGCAGACGCCCCTCTGGTTAAATCTAATGCACTGAATGCCCACATCAGTATAATACAGCGGTTTACTGCGTTGTCCGGATTACTATGTTTGCAATAATACCTATAAGCTAGGGATTGTATTTGTAATATGCAGACCCACAGTGTGTAAAAGGGCAGCATGCTAACTGCATAAGAGCAAGACAATGGGATTGAGAGACAAGTAATTATAATATTCTGTCCTTGAAAGCTCATAATGCACCAGTAAGGTCAAATATAGAACGAGATCAAAGCTACAGTCAAGACTTTTGACCTTTTGTAGACCTTATTACACTGCAAGCTTTTTTTTTGATCACATCAGGTTTGCTATAATATTGCTATAATCTCCTCTGTGCTGCAGCTAGTCTTGCTGCTGTCTCGAGTGTTATTTGCCTGCAATTTGACACGAGATTTATGGTTCATTAAAAGTTCTTTTGGCTTACAAAGAGCAACCACACATGACAGAAATGCCTGGTTTGCTGTGCTGTGTCTGAGGCATGTGACAAATGTGGTGATGTCATGTAACTAATCAATGCAGTAAGCATGAGCCTCCACCGCTCTGTCTGCGTTTGTCTGTTCAAATGCAGGGATAGACTTCAAAATCAGAACGATAGAGCTGGATGGAAAGAGAGTCAAACTTCAGATTTGGTAAGTATAATTTCAGTGTTTTGTCTGGGGTTTTTTTTTTTAAAGATGTGAATGTGTACTGAATCTGCCTTGTGGATCTTATCTTTTCGATTTGATGTGTTCAGGGACACTGCAGGGCAGGAGAGGTTTCGCACCATCACTACAGCTTACTATAGAGGAGCGATGGTAAGTCCTCCCTTTCTCAGTTTGCCACTAAAAGTCCCCATTTCTCTTACTTCTCAGGGTTCAGGAATTTGTTTTCCTTTACAGGGTATCATGCTGGTCTATGACATTAGCAACGAGAAGTCCTTTGAGAACATAAAAAACTGGATTAGAAACATTGAAGAGGTGAGCTTTGAATTTAAACTTAGTCATTTGAGTGGTGCTTTTCCATAAATAAACACATTTTAAAGACTTTATTAGACCTTCAGAGTTTTGTACTTTAAATAGCCTTGCATAATGAGTCTTATTAATTCTCCCAGCATGCCTCATCTGACGTGGAGAAGATGATCCTGGGCAACAAATGCGACATGACTGACAGGAGACAGGTGTCTAAAGACAGAGGTGAAAAGGTGAGTCCCTGCAGTCCTTGCTAGAAAGTAGCCTCAAAATAATTCCAATGCAGCTTTCCAACTTGCAACGAGGGACACTGACATGATATTTTCATCTCCTTCAGCTTGCTATTGATTATGGAGTGAAGTTCTTGGAAACCAGTGCAAAGTCTAGCTTAAATGTAGAAGAGGTAAGATGTCTGTTTAACATCTGAAGGGTCCATACAACATGATTTACATGTATGTGTACATGTAACATTTGCTGTGTTTTTTCTGTCACACAAGGCTTTTTACACCATGGGAAGAGACATATTACATAATCTGAGCTCAAAGACTGTAAGTAGTTTCTTAAAATCAATGCTCAACTACTTTTTTAATACTGTATGTATTAAGTTTCCTCACTGTTACATCTTTCTTGGGTAGACTGACAACAATGCCGGAGGATCTGGCAAACCGGTCAAGATCACAGAGAAGAAGTCGAAGAGAATTAAATTCTTCAAGTGTTCGCTCCTCTAGGGTGCTCGTCCCTAATGTTCACGTTTCCAGCGTGGCCTTGATGTTTTTGGAGGGTTCCTGCCTCTCGGGGTTTCCTCACAGCGACAGCAGCACTGGTCATAATAATCAGAGGACCTTACTGCCAGCTCAAGTTAAAGGTTCATGGCTGAATGAGACCATGACCTGCTGACCAGAAGAGGATCAATGAGGAATGAGGCGTGATACTTTATATCTGCTCATGCTAAAGACTCGTGCATGACCCACAGCAGTGGTTTGTAGCTTGACCTGCAGTGCCTGCTCACAGTAGGCAGTGTTTCTGCTGGCATTTATATCACCTCTGTTGGATATCATACAAATGTCTCAATTGCACATGGTTGTCTTATAAATAGAAAAAAACAAAAAGAAAAAATAACCTTCAGATACTTTCATATATTGTAGCATCATTTTATACACACTACCTATTGTCATATTTACTATGATGACTCTGTAAGATAAACATATCAAGTCTCAGCATTGATTGTATTTATCTGTGTGAATTCATGTATATTAATAAGCTTATGGTCTCCAGTTGCACTGGCATCATTTCTATTTGTTCATGTGTGCCTAGAAGGAGTCACAGTATTGTGATAGACAAGTATAAATACAACCTACTGTATGCTCTTATTTTTTATTTATTCCTTTATATTGGAACCTTTATTTATACAGGATCTTGTGTCAACATGAAACTGTGAAAGGGTTGTTTGTTTCTTTGAAGCTGTACTTAATACATATTGTTATACAATTGTCAGTATTTGCATGAAAGCTGTAGAGGGACCTCTGAGGGGTCAGTGTTACGCATCTGAAGTATCTCAAAAAGAAAGTGTTTACAGACAGTATTTGAAAATGTATAGGAAGTTCATGTTTTTGCTGTTCACACTGTGTATATGTCGGCACAACTAACCGTGTTTATATTTTATTTCCTCCAGGAGCAGTAGAGATCCGTCAGGTTCCTTTTACATTTCCACCGTAAAAACACAATGACTGGGGAAAGCTGTAATGTGAATGATTGTCTTTGTAAGCTACTGTATGTTACACCAATGAAAAGTAAAGACAGTAAAGAAAGTGGATCTTTACAGGAGAGTGTTGATTTTCACTGCATGATTGAAAAAGACTTTCGTAATGATTTTTTCCATCACTGCCTTTCTGTTTTTTATCAGTTTTCTGATAACAGTTTCAACAACTCATTCAGTAGTGATCTATGAAATCAGTTCTGTTTTGCTGGCATCCGCCTCTTCTGCTTCTTTTCTTATTCTGTTTTATTATCATCTGTCGGTGCTTTCATCAGTCTCTTCTTTAATTTCTACTTGTGTGCATCATCTTCTGCCTCCGTCTTCTTTTCCTCATCCTCCAGTCCAACGACCAACACCCTGCTGGCTTCAGCAAGGTTTCTCGCGCTGCTCGAGGCCTTCATCTCCTTGCTAACCATGAAGGACTTTGCTTTCCTCTCGCTGGCGTTCCAGCTCAGTGACCTGGGACACGGCAAATACTTTTGATCCGCCACAGTCAGATAGTCAGTGGTGTCCGAAAGGTTTCTCTTCGCCTTCATCTTTATTTGGTCTTCCACAGGCTCAGTCGCTGGAAGAGTTCCCTCACTTTCTGAAGGAATTGCATCAGTCTTGTTCTGATTTTGAAGCTCTGCGGGTGCAGCGGTAGTTTGAAACTGCTGTGCAAGGCTTCTGACTGTGGAAACTTTAGGTATGTGGCCCAAAGTGCTGGGATGCACCTGATACTCCAGATTTGAAGGCCACTGGTTGGGAGTTTTAGTGACCTGCTCTACCAGAGACCTGTAGTCAGCAGTTTGTAGGAAGTCGTCGCCCACCTCAGCTGGGTTGTAGATGATGCTGCTCATAGCCCTCTTCTTTGTGGTAGGAGAAATCTGGCTTTGGCTTTCAGTTGGCAGATATCTGAGAGATTTAGTCCTCTTTGGAGAAGAGGAGGTACCTTGCGGCAGTTGGGGTTTCTCTGTGGGTTCAGCAGCATCCTCTGGTTCATCAGGAGGGTTAATGATGATGGTGCTCATCGCCCTCCTCTTTGACAAAGGAGAGGTTGGTTGGTCTTCAACTGGATAGTGTTTCAAGGATTTAGTCCTTTTCGGAGAAGATGAAGGCTTGAGTCTGTTTTTATCTGAGAGCCTATCTAGGAACATTGTGCTGCCTTGTTTTATGTTGGTTATGGTCTCTTGACTCGATGCTGCAGAAGCAGGCTTTTGTTCACATGGAGATATGAGGATGTCCACACATGAGCTGGGTCGTGACCTCTCTAAACCGCCGACCTCTAAAGTCTGACCGCCCTCCTTGGGGTTGAGAGTGCAAATGCTCCGCTGTCTTTCAAGGCCGCTCTTAGCTGTCTCCTCCGTGTCCTTTTGCTTGGTAGCAAACTCCTCCATGTCCATGTGGAAGCGGTAAAGACTGTAACCGTCGGCGCTGTTGATGCTGCCCTGGCGCAGGAGAGAGGAAGGATCGCACACAGAGGAGTTTCGTGAGTAGGTTCTGGTCAGCTCCAACCTGTCCACCCCGGCAAGTTTTTCCAGCGCGACTGCCATGCGCCCGTGAATCTCCTCGAGCTGGGCCAGACGCAGATCCACAGTCTGCAGGGAGGCCTTCATAGTGTTCTCCCTCTCATTGACCTCCTCCAGACGCATTGACATATTCTCAACTCTGTTAAGAACATGAGGAATACAGAGTTTATAAAAAAATAAATAAAAAACTGTATACGCTTTGAAATATCTGCACCATAATAAAAAAAAAAAAAATCAGTAAATAGATTTTGAAACTCTGGCAGCAAGAATGCCAGAAAAAAAACATTTAAAAAATCTGTGGAATACTGTAATGTTCAAAAACTGTGAAAATAGTGGAAAATATCTGTAAAATAATTATATTTTCAGCTGGTTCAAATACAGTAAAACTAACTTTGCAGTCACACATTGTAAAAGAACAAATTCTAAATTGTGAAAATTCAGATTTTGGATTTTATGAGCATTTACCAATTTTTAATACAGTCAACATGAAAATAATACTTGCTACTGTGATTTAACAAGATATTGTGTGTAATTGAACAAAACTGGGAAAATCTGTAAAATACCATTAAAAAAATCATTTAACATTTTTCAATCCATAACATACATAATGTTCTCTTAAATAATGGCAAATAGCTTTAAAATAACAATATTTCTTGCTGATTTAAATACAGTAAAAATAGAGTAGTTTTACAGTCAAATATGGAAGAGAAAAAAAATGCTATTTAAATTTTCTTTTCATGTGGACAATATTTACATTTTTTTCAGTTTTTTATGGTTAGTATGTAAATAAATATTTTTCTCTATAGTGTATATATTTATATATATATATATATATATATATATATATCAACAATTTCCCTGAGGTTTGCACCAAAGGGATCAATAAAGTTCTATTCTATTCTATTTTTCTTGTAATTTCACAAAACAGGGGAAACAGTGGCTTGTTCAAAAAAAAAAAAAAGACAGATGAAAAGTGTTTAAAAATGAACACCTAAAAGCCATTTACCTCTCTGAAGTAACCTTGATGCGTTCATCACTGGAGGACTGCTGCTCGTCCTCTTTCTCGCGGAAATATTCCTCCACACACTGTTCTTCAAACTCGTACAGATTTTTCAGCTCCTCTGGATTCAGCCTGAGCTCTGAAGGAAACAGATGACATGTGTTTCCAAAAGTGCATCTGTGTATGTATGCAGTATGATTTTAAAGTTCTTAGAGTGTAAAACATTGATTAAAGCTCCATTATCCTGATAAAACTGTGTGCATGCGATGAAGAGAAAGTAACTAACTAAGTCCTCTGTCCTTCTCGTCCAGCTCTCCCTCCTGTTTCTTCCTGGCACATCGTCGAAACAGCCTGTTGAAGAGGATGTAGAGGTGGCTGAAGATGATGAGAGGCGGAGGCAGGATGGGACGGTCGTGGAAAGTCATGATCAGCTGATATCTCTGAAACTTCCACACCTGGTTGGAAATGGACTTGACTTCAAAGAAGGTGTTGCTGTGAGGAGAGGGAATGCAAGCCAGTGAGTACAAACTGTAACGGCCGACACAAATGACAGAACAGACAGACACTGGAGCGTATATTTACTTGAACACTGCAATGAGCAGGTTGACCAGAAGAATGTTTGCCACGAGAAGGTAACAGGCCATGATGGCAGGTGTGAGCCAGGCTCCAGGGATACATGGAGGCAGTTTCTTTCCATCCTCATCATATAGATGTTCACCACATGGAGCTGTGGGGAAAGAATAGAGTTATTCTGAGAACTTAAGCTAACTGATTAGATCTACATTCTTGACTTGAACACTACTTACGGTTGATTTCCATCGCATAGACTTGGAAAAAATCCCAGAAAGGCGCAGTCCCGCAGAAATATGGAGAAAGCGTTACAATCAATGAAAACATGGGATTTTTTTTATTTCATATTTCTGTCAAGGTCAAGCTGATGTCCATGAAAGAGAGGACTGATGTCTTCAAAGTGTTCTTCCAACTTAGTTATGATCATTTTTTTTTCATTTTTGTGATGAATCTGATTTTCAGGTTAGTTTGTACTTTGTTCAGCAAATCAAGACTTTAATAAATGTGGGCTTCAAACTTGCATTTTCTAATATATATTAAACAAATGTCTAATTCTATAAAGTAGCCATGTTAAATTTATTAACACTCGCTGCTAGTTGTCTTCACCCTGACAGAAAAAACCCCTGACAGAAAAAGAAAACTCAGAGGCAGATGATCACGACTGACATGATGACATAATGATTCTGCTCTTACTCAATGCTACGTTACTGCAATTTAAGCTCATCACAAATGTGCCAGCAGGGGGAGACAAAGTATTGCACTGCTACAGTGTCATGTAACGTCTCTAACCATCACAGGATTTAAGACAGAGAAATTAATGCAACACTGATCATCTGCCCAGAATCAGGAAACAGAATCTTACTATGAATTCTAGTCTTACGGTCTATCGAGTCCGCAAAAACCTCTCCATAGATCATCCAGTAGGGCATGTAGAAAATGTTCCTGGCCAGGCGCCACGTTGGCTCCTCGTCGGGGTGAAGGATGGCCTGCCGAGCCACCCCGAAGCTCATGAGCACCACCAGCATGATCACCACGAAGTACATCATATCGATCATCTGAAAGAAAAGAAATTTGAGCTTGTTTTATCTGTACTCGTATCTATCTGTTCTTAAATGGTTTGTTTAACGGTCATTACCATCTTCCCTATCATCATCACATAGGGACCCAGGTATTTGTTGACTCCAAAGATGTCCAATACGCGAATGTACCAGAAGATGATGTCAATACAGTAGATGACTCTGCCGTAGCCCATGTATGGTTCATGCTGCAGCCGCAACATGAGCCCCAGAAGGAAGGTGCAAATGGCCACCAGGTCGGTGATGTTCCAGTACTCCTCCAGCCACACACTTATCTTCTGTTTCAGCTTCCCTGGTTCTGACATTAGAATCTAGACACCAAGATTTAAATGTCAAACCATTAAAAAAAGTCTTTCACACCTTTTTGATGTTCTGCCATTTGTGGTTTATTACCTGTCTGACTTTTTCAGTGCCAAGTGTGAGGATGTATGCTATGACGGTCCACTCCTGTAGAGATGGCCATCGCTCCATTTTCACCAGGATGATGTAGTTGTACAACATTAAGTAGCCCAGATAGCAAATCTGTCATAAAGTTATAAAACCATTTTACTGGAAGTGATAAATACTTCCAAATGCATGCTATAATTCTACTTAAGCACAAGAAGGGAACTTACGGTGTTGAACCAGAATTTGGTGAAGGGTGCGTCGTAAAACTCAAAGAACCTTTTGCCAATGGGGATTTTACGGACTTTAGCGCTGCCCTCCTCTTCGTCTCCCTTTCGGGAAGTAGCATCAGCATTCCCCTCCTGCAGCATCACAGCAAACATCTCAGCTTGACATATTTCACTCTGACATTAACGCATGTGAAAACAAACTAATGTGATAAGATCAGTAGACCTTGCTAGACTTTGTGTCATCATCCTTGTCTTTTCCATCTTCTTTGCCTTCAGGTGCATGATGATCGTCTCCGATACGGAAATCCAACAGTAGAATGAGAAGAGGAAAGATGATTCCCAGAATGACCTAGTGAGACATCACAAAGAGTTAGTTGGTAGCTTTTGTGTGTGTGTGTGTGAAGCCAAGAGTATAACAGGAGTCATTGTTGTTATAAAATATTTGCTGTGGTTGCTGAAGATGAACCAATTTTCATGTCAACCTTGAGGCCAGGGTTTTTTCCGATCCTTAAGCAGCCCATCCACATGTCAGTGAGCAACATCTGGCTGCAGGTGTGAGCGATGAAATCACGTTGCTTAGCAGCCACGGCCAGCTTCAGACAGGTGGAGTTACTCCAGTTAACCAGCTCATATGTTAAGAGTTTCATGGCCACCTGTTCATCGTGCTTATAGGACTGGTCCAGCAGCTCGTAGGCCAACTGGCCAAATTCTCTGTGAAAGGGACAAAACCATAAATTTAATTTCTGTACAGCTCTACTTAAAAGAGTTTGAAATAACAGCAAACTCAAATAACAACAAATAACAAAAACATACAGAGTTGCACAAGACAAAGTGTATAAAACATGAAGTATGTGGGCCTATAGTAGAAAGAAAACACACATAAAGATCCCTAAATTAGAGTGATGTGCCTGTTTGCTTTGTGACAACCTACGTGAAGCGTGTTCACTGTCATGTAGTTTTAATTGACTTTGTTATTTATTCTGTGGCACTGACTTGGAGTTGTTCTCCAGATCTTGGGAGATGTCGTCCACCAGCTCGCTCTCAGAGCACTCGTGGGCCATTGCTTTATACAGTTTACAGGCCACCAAAGCCTTTGCCATAGCTTCTTCTCCACGCTGCCAGAGGAACAGCGCCATCTTCTGGCGCTTCATCAGCACCGCCCACAGCATCAGCTCATGGAAGGGAAACTTGAATCTGCAGACTTCAGGGTCGTCCACATCAATTTCCACCTCTTCCTCCTTCTTCTTTTTTGGCTTCTTCTTGCCTTTGGGCCTTGGTTCATCATCCTAACAAAAAGAAAAACAGTCAGGATAGAATATTCTGCTGTATGGATCTGATTTGTATTTGAAGAAAGACTCCTCACCTCCATTCCTAAAAGCTTCAGCGCTTTCGGCTGCAAGAAGTGAAAAAGCGTTGTAATTGTTATCAAATGTTACTTCATGTAATGAATCGGCCATTGTTTTTTTCTTTTTGCTTCATCCATGCTTACCCTTTTTAGTCCATATAAATTATTGTAGAGGTTGCGAAAAACCTTCCTGGTGTAATTACTCCTGTAAGCTCCACCCATGAGGTATTCCAGCACCAGACCAATATCAATCAAAGTGATCTGATAATCTGGAGGAAGGTTTCCCTGCAGAATCACCAGAGTAACGTGTTATATAGCAAGCGGCTCAAAATAATCTAAAATTACAAATAATCTGAACTGATAGAGGTTATGCTCCATCGTGTTTAATACTGTAGGAAGGGTCACTTCACCTTTTTGACATCTCTAACCACAGCATGCAAAGTGTTCGCAGGTCCAAGTTTCTGAGGGAAGAGAAGGCAAGAGAGGAGAAGGAGGACAGTCAGTAAAGAGTGTGAATTATTTTTTCCATATTTGCCACATCTGTCTTTTCCATATATTGTTGCCCCTTAGAACTGATGTTCCATTTATTTGCTGCCTTTTCTCAGACCCACCGTGTTGTATAACTCCTCCAGCCTGGGAATGGTGAGGAAATGGTGAATATTGACGCCATTCTCAAGGAGCAGTTTGACAAAGTCCACTCTGTCCAGCACCAGAGCATCCATCATAGCCTGCTCCAGAGAGTTCACCTGAGAGAAGGTTATATGACACAGAGGAACTGTTATTTATGTCTTCGCTCTATCCTCTCAAACTCCCACCTTAAGGGTTTGACACAATCCCCATTCTTACCCAACGAATCAACTCCAACTTCCTCGGGTCTGTCTCCTCTGGAGGTTCAGGTTTTGCTTTTCCCTTCCCCTTCCCCTTTTTTGCTCGGGTCTTGTTGCGAGGAGCGCTGGCGGGACTCTTCGTTTTCTCCTGGGTTGCGGCTGCAGAGGTTGTCGTGTTGGCGATGGCACCGGCAGGCTAACAAAGCAGGAGTCAAAGAAGAAGAAAGTTGTGGCTCCTCTTTGGTTGAAAATTAGTTCAACTTTTTTTTTTTTTGTATTTGGGAAACACAACTCATTTTACACGGGACTGTACTAGTTTAAAAAGTCTTAAAATTACACCTGCTGTGTCTCCCTTAAAAAATTCTGAACCTTTTCTGAAAATTTTCATTTCATGAATTTAGTTGCTGAATGACAAGTCATCTGTTACGTCAATGAAAAGTTTATTCACTCTATATGAGCACTGAAGGCTTTCACATCACTCTGCATACTTTGCCCAACGGATTCAACAGTTAAATCTGAAAACAGCTTTCTAGTGTCAAACTGTGCACATGCATCATTCTGCACAGTTACAATCATGTAAAGTTAACAATAAGCAAAACATACTTTTGAGCAGAGTAGGACTTTCAAAAGCTCTGTTGTCAAACTCTTTCTTAATTGCCAAAACCACATTCTTTCCGTCAGTCCTAAATACATCTTTGGCAACTTTACAAGTGTGGAGGCCTGGCGTGCACTCGGATAATTAATCCCCACTATTTAAATGCGAGGACCACTCACTGGTAAATTGTGTCCATAAACAAAGATGTGATTGCGAGCAATATCCACTCTGTTCCAGGCCAGAGCCAAACTGAGCTGATCTGCTGCCGAAGCATTCGTGCCTGAAGCAAAAGGAGACAGAAGGCCAGAGAGACAAGAGAAGCAGAGGAGAGCAGGTATTTGTAGTATGCAGTGAGAGAACATATTGCTGTTGGAGAGGGATAATTATTTGTGATGCAGTTTGATGATGATACCTTTTAACAAGGCAGTGAGGATGGCCATTTCAATATCTTGTTGTCCCTCAGAACCCATTCGAAACACTGTGATCTAGGCGTGAGAAAAAAAAATGGACAAAGACGGAACGATTGCAGATGTGAGCTCGGCAGTAGTTTACAAACTACATAAATGAATGGATGAATGAATGCACAAGTGAGTTTGGTTCAGGAATGCGTGGCAGTAAACATGTGCTATCAAGTGATTTTTCAGCAGGGCTTCTCACTGCAGCGCTCTTGTCGCTGACCTTTCGAGCACTAACGGCTAATTTAGCGGTCAGACGGGGTGATAGCGCTCGCCTTGTTACAGACTCAACTATATCAAATGAAATTATGCTGACGGCTCTGTCACATGTGCAGCCGTGGTGAATGGAATTAGATTGGCATGAATATGTGGCACGGCGCCAGAGATTTCCGAGCCGACCTCGGGATGCGTTAATAATGAGCGGCCTGAATCAATATGAACACTGAAAACTTTTGTTGCTCTTTCAGTGTTTTTTTTTTTTTTGCAAAAACAGAGACCTTTATAATGGTTACCTCATAATTTGGTTAAATGTTGCATCTTGGTGTCACATCACAGTCTTCTAAATCAGTATTTTTATTTTTCTAACCCAGCTGTTCGCTCGGGATGCACTTTGGATGAAAGGATTATGCGGAGACTAGACAGCCGCGGTTTTTCACCTGTAGGTTAGTCGTGCCACTTTAGTTTTAGAGCCGGCAGTAGTTTAGTTGTGCATGAACTTGGCAGCTTTTTGCCACACTGTCTGGACCGGGAATCAGTGAAAACTAAATGGCATAGGATGGAGGGGGGAAAGCTCAAAGTGGTGTGATCTTTAAAAAAAAAAAAAGCAGTTTAAGTTGCTTATCTGAGTATGTTGGAGCATTAAGCGGTCTAATACATGAGGGATAGAGAATGCGGAGTGAAGTGATAGCACTCTGGTGACTGAAAGCCTGGGGAGTGGAGAGAGGAACCTGGCTGAGGATTAGGGAGATGGAGCCTCTCCTCCATCTGTGTGCTGCATGCTTACTGTGAACAGATGAAGTAAGAGCCTCTGCTAAGCAGGTGGTAGTGTGCACTGATCTTTCCCACCCATTATATGCGCTGGGTATTACAAAACTACTAATCACATCACTTATGCCTACGGGAATCGTCTGGAGATGCACAGATACCGCCGCTGTTTACGCACCAAAGTCAAACACTTTGGAGAAACACTGGCAGGATTAATCTGCGATCTGTGAAGACTCTTACCAGGGTTTGTGCTGAACTGTGTTGTTTACATGAAGATAAGGAGTTTAACACCGCAGAATTAGACGTCCGCCACCATTTCACAGGCGTGCATGTGCTTACATACATACATACATACATGTGGGTTAATGATGGTCCACAGTAAAGCTGCGAATGCCCTGGATTATATGACAGACCACACATGGCCACGGAACGAAGGAGAAAAATGACAAGCAGGTTGTGGGGATTATGTTTATTCAATATGTTAATGGAAATACACAGATGAGTGGAAAAGATGAACCACGATGGAGACCAGATGCTTCACAAGTCAAAAATATTTATTGATTGACAGACATTTTCAAACACAAGATGATCTGGAATATGTGAACAAATGCAGGATTTGAATCTCTTTGTTCTTCTACTCACCAGTTCCCTTTTCTTCATGCACTCCATTACCATGAGCAGGATCTGCTGCGATTGGCTTTTGCTATAATTGAACGTCTTCTGAATAGTCACTAAAAGTTGATCTCTGACGTCATCGTTAACCAGGCTGCAGGGAAAAAAAAAAGACATTTTAGCTTTTCACCAGAGGAATCTCAAGAGTATAGCAAAGGACGAATCATGTAAAACCTCACCCTCCGTCCTCTGAGAACTTGTGCGCAAAGGAAATGATGTCAGAGGCGCGACCGCTGCCGTCACACACCACCACAGGGATGGGAGGCTCGTCTCTCAGACTCTCCAGGGCGATGGAGATAACGTTGGGACCTCCCTCCACAATCAGACACACCAGAGGGACACCCTGACCCAAACCTGGAACACACAAGGAAAAAATAATCAGTCCTTCTGTTTAACTATTTCAGCACTAAAGTGTAACTTTGCAATCACAGAAGTTAGAGAATGACATGATGAAGCAGAGTATCTTCGATGTGATGCGTGAACAGACAAACCAGAGGGAAGAGGGAGTGAAGTCAGTGGTGACAGCTGAGCATCCCTTTGCTGTCCCTGCCTTATCCGAGCTCCAGGCATAGGATGACAAAGGGAAGCCCACAGGTCACAGAGGAGCTCTCCATCCACTTGTCCAACAAGATTCTGCCTCACACTCGCACACAATGAAGGATGGAGGATGTTTTACGACACCGGCGGAGCGCTGCGTTTACTTACGAGTGTTGATCTTCTGAAGGGAGATGTGCTTCTCCAGCAGCCGACGGAGTTTGACCTCGGAGCCGTACTTTCCGCAGGTTCCGTTGTCGGTGAGGATGAAGTGGGAGTGACTGTTGTTGAGCACAGCCAGCTTGCTAAGTGGGTTTGCCATCGTCTGATAGGGTCTGGTTACCTGGAAAAAGGAGGGGAAATGATGTTGGAATGATTGAAGAAGACATATTATGAAGAGAAGAACTTCTTAATGTAAATGCTCTCACATCTTTTCCAATGAGGTCCTCTTTGTTTTCCAAGATCCCCCATGGAGCAATTCCTATTGCACACACTTTTCCTCGTGACTTTGAGGAATGGTCCTTTAAGGCGTCTCCGACATGACGGATCACCCCTGAATGGTAATGAACAGAATAAAGCAATATGAATAATAACTCCTCCAGATACCTAATGGGGCCACATTAGGGAACATGCTGCGGTTGCTGCACGCTAAACCCACACAGGCTGTCATTTGTGATGAATTTTCCCACTAAAGCTTTAATTATAGAGCTTAAACCTGCGACAATGGGTTGGTCAAATCTCCCCCCAGGAAATTGCGGAACTGGTATTATGTAATGACAATTTCAAGCAAAGGTAATCTTCTAATGTCACAAGCTGATATTTGTTAAGTGAACATTAAAAGCGTCATCCTGTCCTACCCGTGTTGACTCCACCCGTGAAGATCCAAGCTCCGGTGGTGACGGCCGCTTTGATCAGACCTTTGCCAAACACTTGCTTGAGTTTGGGTTGGAGGTCGAAGTTCTGCAGACCTCCGTGTACGGAGATGAGCAGGGTGGGCAGCTCCAGTTGCCAGTCCTTCACCATCAAATGCAGGAGGTTGTCGGGTTTGGTGTCGTATGAAACCCGGATATACTAGGGAATATAAGGACAGAATTGTGATCAGCACCTGTTCTGGAGTGAGTTCTATGTTTTATTGCACTATAGGTAATCGTGGCCTCCCACTTCTCTGTAAACACAGAGATCATTTTCAGTATCTAAACTCACCATGGCCTTGTTGATGAAACCTCCTCCCTGGAACTCGATGATGCCAAAGGAGTCCGTCGGGTACGTCCTGGTGTGCTTGATCACGGACCATTTGTCCTTTGGGGTGTCAATCTGCACCAGCTGGTGGGCTTCCTCTAGTGAGTTGGCACCAGGAGGGATGGCCACGTGCTGCGTCGTCAGCTGACCACAGGCACATCTAGACGGATCACATAGTGCATGAATCACAACTTTCAGTATGTTTTCCTCGAAACACGCTGTGGACGGGTTAATTCATGGCTGTACCCATTTCTGGGAAATATGTGCCTCGATGAACAAAAGGGCTGCAACGCCTCACTGCTCTCAGCAGTGCAGGAGCTTTGGAGACCAGGATAGTAACCTTGTCCTACAATACTAAAAAATCTGCTTTAATCCTGATGGAGGTCTGATAACCTTTGCTCACAGATTTAATGAATGAATGAACTAATAGGAAGAATTGATCTGTAATTAATTAGTGATGATAGAGCTGAATGCCATCGTTATATTTTAATTTCTATAATAATCACTGTCATGAGTTATACATTACATTAACAAAGGCCCAGTTGACAAGGAAAACAGGACACATGGGGCAGTGTGTTCTCTGGTTAAACCATTTTCTCTGTAATCTAATTTTATTGTTGCTTTTTATTGCTTTTGTTGTTGAAAATCATTCTCAGACTTCCTGCATTTTTAAAAGATTTTTTTCTGAACTTATGCAGATGAACATTGTGAAAAGCTTGAGCAGCAAACAAAATAAAAAAGCAACACTATCTGTAAAACCTGGATAAAATTAATGGAAAAAGTGAGTGAGTTTTGGGGCATTGCTCTGCATGTTCTCTCTCACATTAAACAATAATGACACAGCTGCTGTAGCAATCTAAGGCCATATATTTACCACAAGTAATAAAGAGCCATTTGAAGGCAAACTTGAAGACCATAATTACCTGGTTGGATCCTTGCTGGGAAATATGTGAATACATTCTCTTTTCACAAAGGTCCTCTCAATCCAAGCTCTCTGTGCCTGTAAAGACAAAATCAGACACAAAAAGTGTTGGCTTTACGTGCTATCATACCAGAGTCACAGGGAGATCATCCTTACGATATCTGAATCTAAGTTTCACGATCAAAATCCTCTTAGCAGTAATCCTTTCTGTAAGATCAGGGCTGTTTGCATCCTCCAGAGAGAGAGAGGAGAAAATATGATTTGAGTAAAAGTATTTCTGCTGAGTCTCAAAATAGAGTGAATACAGTTTTTTTTTATTGCAAATTGAGTGACATGAACTGGCAAAAAACGTTGTGTATCACACACTAAAGTCAAGCCTGGTCTGTTATTCCTGAGGTTATTATACCAGAATTGATGCTGACTGACAACTTTGTGGAATTGTCTGCTTTTATAGTCTCTTCAAGTTTGATAAGCAGCCAGCGAAAAGCATCACACAATAGTACTCTGCCCACTCACTTTGGCAAATCCTGTTCTGATTGCTGTCTGATCTTATTCCAGCGCTGAGCAAAGATAACCTGAGTTCAAAGCCGAGCTTCTCTGAGGGCCTTTGTTGACAGCGGAAGCCCAATTAAAACTGAATCACTGGAAGCAGAGCTTTCCAAGAAAACACCGGGAACTCAAGTGAAAAACAGCAGTGGAATCTTACCGAGCGTGATTAACTTAAAACACACTAAAAAGAGAATCTGTCTGGGCTCCACCTATGAGCCTGCAGTCATATGAGTATAAATTAAAGACCGTAGATGAGCTCTATTGAAGTCTTGTGACCGTCACAAGTGGCCCTAACACAGTACCGTTACTGTTCTCTCTGTTTGTCTGCTCAGACGGCCTCAGCCAGCAGGGCGGCTGCACTGGAAAACCACAAGCTATTCTAAACTATCCTCTAAGTTCAGCTTTAAGAAAAACAAAAAGGAAACTTCTGGATTCCTTTTCTATATCTGTATGTTCTCCATTCATAAAATAATTAGTAATAAAGGCAATCATTTGGCATCAAACTTTTAGGAATTCAAACAGTTGCAGATACAATTTCTATAAATATTTCTTGTATGAATATTGGCTATCATTTGTTACTATTTTCACTACTAATAATCACTATCTTGTTGTACTTTATTTTTTTGTGCTAAAGAGTTGAACTGCAGCATTACTACTGTATAAATTATACATCCAGATATAAAATATTAATGTTGCATATCATGTATTTAACTATAACTACTGATTTTCATATGAGAGCCAAAGAATAATCATTTTGTCTGAATTCAAAACATCATTAGATACTGGCTGAGTAGATAAAATTACTCTATTTGCTAAAATAGCAGATACAACTACTTTTAAATAACCTGCCTTGAGGTTTTTTTTGTTTTTTGTTTTTTTGCGTTTTGTACCTTCCTATTTACCCTGTAGGTTTTGGATGCTTTTTCGCAAAAATATTCCTATCCTGTTGCCGTCCGTTTCTCTTGTCTGTCTTGCCTTGGCAGTTTCCCGTCTCGCTGTTCTCATGCATCATTAGGCACCCAGAGCCCATGCAGCGCTGCCTGCTCACATTTACCACATCTGAATTCACTTTCCAGCGTCCACAATTCAAACCAAATCCGCTGCCGTTAGGTCACATCTATCTAGATTCTGTCAGAAAAGAAGTGAAGAAATAAAGTTTAAAAAGAGTTGGACAATTGCAGAAACTCACTTACACACAATCCTCCGGTGGTGCTTGCTGCAGAGTCCTATCTCTAGTGCTGCCGGAGATTAAGGCTTCGAGAGCGGAGAAGAAATCTACAGTCTGCTGCTCTTGTGTCAGAGCTTTCCTCTGGTGCTGCACTCCCAGTCAAGTGGTCTCATTGAATCCCACAGGACATGAAACTTCTTCACTTTATGAGGGCCGGTTAATATGATGAGCATGTGAGCAGGGTCTTTGTTCGCCCAAGTCTCATGACTCCAGTTCAAGGTAATCCTTTTGGGAGTCCCATGACCCCTTCTCCATGCCCACAGGGTATTTTCATCCTTCGCTTGAACAAGGCACAATAAATCTACTTTGATAACCGGCCCCTAATCTCCCAATTTGTTGAAACTCCTTTCTTTGTGTTCACTTCACAGTGTGGAAGATCTTAGCTAGTGTGAGAAGACGGAGCAGAGTGGCCAAGCTAAAAACACTGCAGTCTCGTTCAGAGGCTCCCCAACTTTTCATTTGAAAATTTTCACCCCCTCCAACTACTTTGATTTCAACCTAATTTGCATAATTGAGAGAATTGGATGCAGGCATTCTTTTGGAAGGCGCCTTGTTAAGACATGACTGGTCTCCAGTTGGGGGCAAGGTCAGTCAATGCTAATTGCAGTTAATCTCTATTTCCACCAACCATGTTTTTGTGGAGGAAAAGAAAGCTCAGCAGACCAGCTATTCAGTATTCCTATAATCTTGCTTTTTAATGTTGGTAAAGTGGATTTGCATTGCAGAACATCATTGATTTTGCATAGTAAATAGTCTCACAGCAGGCGGCTTTTTAAAAAAAATCATAATTATCCTGGTGGCTGCATTGTGTCCAAGTGTTAAAATGAGCATTCGTAGGCTTCTGTGTACAAAAAGAAACAGAATTTAAGTTTCAAACAAGTCCTGTTTATTTAAACTTTTGAAGTGCTTGCTTAAATAATTAGAGGACGGCTTTAGGTGAGCTCCAAGCTGCGATGGAGTTAACAAGCACAGAGTTAGTAGACATCTGCTTAAAACCCTCCTCATGTGAATGATTTGATAAGTGCTCCTTTTATGGTTGAAGCGAGCAGTTTGAGCCCGACTGTAACTCTCACTGACAAAGACGAGGGAAGGCTGGTGGTTGATGACACAGAAAGACAGAGAGAGAAAAGCCTAACATCCCCCCCTCCGAACTCCCCACTTTTTTCGTCCTGCTCCGGTAAAAAACACACGTGGGCCACTGTTAATTATAGCCGAACAAAACAAAAGCGCATTTCCAGAAGGGTTTGGCCAGTATGACGCAGTTATTTCAGCTTACTTAAACTCATTAACCACAGCAATTAAAACCAAAATCCAGTCAGCAACCAGCTGGCTCGTTAAGAGCTGCCTTTGAGCACTTAACAACACAAAAAAAACCTTGAAGAATTAGATACTGCGGGATCAGATTGTGTCACGCCAAGCAAATTAACAAGACTTAAGACAAGCCTCGGAACAATAAACAACATTCATTCCAACGCGCAGAATTTTCTGATCACCGAAAACAAAAGACAGTTGTGTGAATTATAATTGGCGGCTTGCGGAGGAAGAAACGGAAATAAGTGTTTTTCATCAGCTGTACTGAAACAATTATGTATTTCCTTCAAACTATATGTGGGATTCTAGTGCGATGCGTCGCTCTGGTTGTGTGTGTACATACATCTGTTTTCTAATTCGATTCGTTTCATAACGCAGTAGATGTAGCATTTGTGTTAGTCGCAGACACATGCAGGCCGCAGACACAGCAGCCATACATTCATTCCTTTTCGCGCTGGAATCACATGGTGCCGGTCTCCTGACCCACAGCTTAGCAACAACTAGATCACAGCTAATTTGTTCCAGTGAAGCCACAATTACACAGATTATTCAGCCCCAACAGTCATACGAGAATGTATCATAAAGGTTACCATTTGACCCAGACGGTTTCAGTGCATTTTGAACACATTGTTGTTTTGAATTTATAAGTCCAAAAAAAAAAAGTCATATTTACTCTGAATGTTGTCCTAACAGTGGAATTCGTACAACAAAAGCCTCATCAGCACAAGTGAAACGGATCAGAAAAGATTTGGGGGTCCTGCGAGGAATGTGATGTCACCAAGGTTGAAGATAAAAGCAACTAATTGCTGGGCTTTGGTATTGAATGGCGATGTGGTTAGAGCTTGATGCACTGTGACAGGAAGGAAACCTGTGTGGACTCTTTTTTACCGTCTAAAAACAATATTCCAGACTCATGGTCAGTCCACATGGGCCGAATATAAAGCCGCCTTTGACGTGTTTTCTCTTGAGGGGAAAAGATATTTCGACACTCGAGTTGCAGACTCTGGATAGGCAAATTTGCATCAACTGTGAAACTAAGTGTTTTCAGTCAGGCCTGTTTGTAAATGCACTCATTGTGCTCCTGAGTTTGAAAATCCAGTTAGCCATCACGAGTCCAACATGTCACTGATTATCCCCAGGAGTGGAGGGAGTCATAAGACATGTTTTAAAGCTGCTGTTTTTCCTGTTTTCCCCCCCAAAGGAAAGTCGGACTGAAAAAGAGACCAAATACTAATTTTACTCAAAATTCAGGCATCAGAATAGAAAGAACAGCAACTTAAAAACTAGCAACAGGTGGATTAAATCTTATTGTAGTGAAAGTTAGGTATTAGTCAGCATGGGTGTAGTTTTATGTGACTTCTAAAAATGATCAGTCTCACAAATTTAGAAGGTATCATAGTAGATCACTCGTCATTTTTAAAGGTTTTGACGGTAGTTATACATGTTTTGTTGAAATATGAAGAGAAAAATAAGTATAAATAGCCCCGTAGCAAAAAGAAAAAAAGAAAAAAGCATAAAGAATTTACTTTTCGAATGTTCAAGAGGTTCTGTTGTTGTTTCTTGAATCGGTTTAGGGTGTATTTTGTTTTGTGCTGTGGATCGTTGTCGTGGTGCTCATTGACTGCTCGATCATATTTGCTTCCTGAATTTTGTGGATATTCGGTGGAATTCTTTCTTTCCTCTATTCATGCAGTGCTCTTGGGAATTTGTACTCTTTCTGTGCTTTTGGTCGATTTCATGTCTCCACAGCTTGTACTTGTTGTTTGACCTGTTTCATACAGTAACTTTTATGATGAGATCGCAGGTAAGGTTTCCATCTGATGACTTTTCCATGTGAGACTACGGCCAGCATCAGTCCTGCTCTCTGTCAGTCAGCTAAAACCCTCCTGCTGGTTCTTTAGACACATATTGAGTTTTTTGCTTTGCCTTCCTGCCCAGCAGACGAGCAGTTTTATCTGAACTTGGTCTTTCAGATCTTGTCGTGACTTCTACAGTTCCAAATGTCATTTATAAATCACATTTTGGCCAGTGAAGATTGTAAGCCGGTCATGCTTTGTGTGCACAGTGCGCTAACATTTGAAAAAAGGCTCATTTTTAACATCTACTCACTTCAAAACTCACTTCGTCCCGAGTTTTGCAAAGAACTGTTCACCAACATGTAACTGAATTGGGTGTAAGAGTTTGCCACCTCCATTGCAGGATTCAAACTTTAAGGCATTTTCCATTTGCTTTGACCACATCTCTTATAACATCATTTATTTCGATGTATAATTTAGATACAACAGCAGAGGCTTGTACTTAAGCAATGAGCAACTCATTTAACTCTACTGCAGAATGCTGCAACACCGGAGGATCTTACTTGTTAAAGCTTTCATTTTTCACAAGCTTTCTTCACACAAAGGCGTCCGCTGTGGCTGTTGCTCAGCCCTATTCTCAGTTACACGGACCTTAATCATGAAGCTTTTTAAGGATTCTTGGCCCTCACCTGACCTGAGCCTGACGCTTACGTCACACAGTCATATGAGCCTGAAAACCCACAGGCAAACTCGTAGGATCCGTTCACTATGTTTCTCCTGGTTTTGATGCTTTTGCAGTTTTTACTAGTAAAGGTTGTTTGGTTTTAAACATATGAGTGTAAAACTCATCCAAAATGATTTACTCCCATAGGCTAGAGGGGCTTTCAGGCCATTTCTTTCATCGCTATGAGTCCGATGACTTTTCAGCAAAAGAGAAAAGATGAATTTCTTTTATCACAACAGGATTATATATTATACCTTAGTTCATGTTTCTGACAAGCAAGACTTTGATTTTTTTTTTCAATTTTTAGATGTTTACTCTATTTTAAATTACTATAAAATAAATGACTATGGATAAAAATAAAATAAATCCCAGTTCATACCACGAACATGATGTGTGTTCCTATCATTTGAGTAAAGAAGATAAATCCATGATTATAGACAAATGTGCGTGATCCGTAAAAGAAAAAAAAGACAATGTTTTTTCTCAGCCGTCTGGTCTGTACAGCCAATGAGTTTATATTTAGCAACATATCGGATCTCATTATCAGTGCAGCACTATTCACTTGAGAGGCACGGCATTGCTGATTGCTTTACAGCATAAAACCCCGTATAAAAAGGCTGCGGATTATACAAGAAATTTTAATCTCAGCAAATCAATGCTGTGATGTATATAAACCTGTCAGACTAGATTGTTTTAATGGTGTCAGATTTGCTGTTGGAATTTCCATCACGGGCGACTGATTCGGCCGCAGAGTGAACAGTTTGTCCTTAGTTGTTGGTGATCATGAGTGTAGACTATGTACAGCATCAACAAAACATGAAACTGAATATGCTTGTTTTACGTTTCCTCTGTTTCAGAAACTCGAGGCATTCAGAGTTGTTTAGGTTCACTCAGCTGGGTTTATTTTAAACCTTTTAAATAGAAGAGTTTTTTTGTTATTTGCCCCTACTCTAAGTGTCGCCACTGTTCTGTGCTTAAAAGCATCCACAAATGCAGTGCCAGCTGAGTGAGCTATGTGTGCTCTAATTCCATGATACGTTGGACTGGGAGTGGAAAAGTATGTACGTATATAAAAAATTACATCTTTCTTGCTTTCAAGGACATGTCAACGGGAATGTGTTAATCACATGAAAGCAGACTTTAGCAAGATAAAAGTCTTTAATCTGTCGTGGCCGTGGTCGACCACATTGGGCCATTATGAAGGATTAAACTGCCGTACTGGAGCGAGTGGCTGCTCAGCTTTAAACACCACTTAATGGTAAACTTTAAAGCGTTGGGAGAGCACACTGTGTGCTTACCAGTATGTGACCAGCAGTCCTGAATGGTGCGTGTCTTTATGCCAAACGGAAAGGCTCTAGATGATTGGTTAGCATGTGCTCGGGCCAGTAATGGTGCCATGTGACATTCTGTGCAACGCAAGTAACCGGAATAATAACACAAAGTTCACAAAAAAGCAGCTACGATAAACCGCAGTTTTTCATGACATTAACTTGAGAATAATACCAAACTTACTCTGGAAAAAAAAGCCATTATAATTCAAGTAAAAACTCAAAAAACATACTTTTCCAGATAGTCTGATACGCTTCAGAGTGGAGACAGCACTAAAAAGTCATACAGAATCACCTGTTGAATGTGCCATCGCTGCCTGCAGGCTTCATCTTACCTTCTGCGAGCCAGATGTGGAGCGTTTGAGGGAGGACCGTTTAAAGGTGCCAGGCTGGCCCTTGGGATCCATGTTGAAGACTCAAGTCAAGAAAAGGATCCTTAGAGAGCAGCAGCGACAGGTCAGAGTTCAGCAGCAACAGACGGAAACCCTCGAGAGCCTCCGCAGAACCGAGGCATGACAGCTACCTCTGGACTGACACTTTAAAAGTTATTACGCTTCACTATCGCTTCAGGTTTCGGTGCTTCGCTCTCCTCTCTGCGGCTTACTCCCGACTGACAAGACAGAGATCCCTGCCAGGGATATAAATCACTCGATGACACACTTGACACATAGACCCTTTTCCTCTGCTGGGCATCCCATAATCAGGCTTAATGCAGCCAGCTCTTCCGAAGCCTCAGACTCTAATGGATAGAGATTTAATAAATGGTTATTGAAGGTAAATCTACTTTGGCACACCACAACCCCAAAAAAGGCTTAGAGGAACCATGCAAGCTGTGAGGCTAAAGTTAGCCGGCGGAAAGCCAAAGGTTGTCCCTCCAGATGAGGCTCAGAGTGTCTGACAGGAGGGTCCCATCAGGGTGCAGACAGATAGGCATGCAGAGACAGATGCAGAGCCAAAAAAATTAAAACACAGTGAACAATGCGTCGACTCTGCCTGAGGCCTGCACCTTTCGAGTAATACAACAGGAATATTTTAAAATGCGCACCCACTCTACCTGTTGTTATACACATTCAGAAACAACAGGGATAAAATGTCCTGCTATGTTTTGGGTGCTGAACATAATATAAGCAGAACTTCCTCTTGCTTCATCAGGCGTTTCACATAAAGTCGACACAGATGCAGAACAGCATGATTCTAAATGCGTCTAAGAGTTTGACCTGTGATATAAAACAAACAAAAGTAATGGGAAATGAAACTATTACTACTGATTACGACCACCGTGTTGCATTTGGCCAACCCTCACAATTAGAGCAAATGTTCTGCTCTTCATTACCAGCGTTTGAAATATGAGAGCCTGAAACCATTACCAGTAATAAACTGCATGACTCTGATAATAAATCTATCACTTCCAGAAATGTGCTGCTGCTGCTGCACAATATCATTATGGCTTGTTGTATCTACTAAATGATTTGCGTGGGAAAAAAAAGGTCCAGATTAAATACCTGAATTTCTGCTATTTAAAAAAAAACAAAAAACTATCTTGCATTCATTCCCAACAGGAGGCTGCAAAATGTAAATGTTTCTATATCTGATCTGAAAATCAAATTACAAAGCAACCATCTGGGCTCCAGCTGGATTCAGATCAGTTTAGATGGATAAATTAGATATCCAGCAACTCCCTCTGCTGGATGCTGAATGGAATGTTTGAAGTGTGGAAATAAGTTGATGCGTTTTAAATTGATTGACAAAACTCATCCTGCATGTGTTGCAATGTTTTCCAGAACAACATCCGGAATCACCAAGGAAACACGTAGAGGAGGGACGCGGCAGCCTTTCTCGACTGAATACCTGGCCGACAATGAAATCAGCCGACGAGATGAGAAATAAAAACCCTTTCTTATTCACATGTAAGTGCACAGAAACACATTGTGGCACACCAAACTAGAACCACGCGAACCCCCGTAAAAGTCAAGCAACGAGGGAACTAATCAGCTAATCCAACGCTGGAAATCACCAAACATCTGCTTTGTACTATTATTGCTATTAATATTAGCTTCAGGAAACAACAATACCTGTTGCGGTCAGCGAAGAAAGTCAATCTCAATCCGTAACCATGAGGACCATGAATGGATGATTTCCTCTTTTCCCTCCTCCACTGCGGCCATGTGCGAGGGTGCTGTCTGCCTCTAAGAATGGATAATGCTTAATTTCTCCTAGTAAGCAGACACAAATGAGCTTTATCATCTGTTAGTGGCTTTGCATTGGTCAGTGGAAGAGATTATTTATCTCCAGGAAAAGACAGAGCAGCGACTGCAGCAGACGAAAGGAGCAATGCTGACTTAAAAACAGGAATTTGAAATGTGCCTCTGCAAAAAATCCAAACCAGATAATTATTAGCACGCATGAAGTTGAAGACATGCTGATAGAACTGAACATTTGAATTTAGATGAGTGTTAATCGACAGTTACTTTTTTTGTAAAGGTTCAAATGTAGCATCTTTCAACAAGAGACGAACATGCAGACACACAGTTGAACTGAATCCTCACTCCTTTGATAGTTTTCAGGGAGAACACACACGCTGCTTTGATGGGATGGAAAAAAGCATGACTTGTGTTGCTACAACACAACATAAAAGTGTGCGTTAAAAAATATGTTTTCCATAATTAACCACTAAATCAAAGGAGCCCCCATGTGCTTTAGAAGTGCTCGTTATTGCTGCGCGTGTGGTTGGCAGTTTGGCTTTTTATGATGTGTGACTGCTGACATTATCTTCTGTTGTGTTTGCTGCGTAGCTCTAGCACACTGTAAATTACTTTAAGTTCATTCGGCTTAGAGGTGTAGATTTTTTTCTGCTGCCTAAGAAATGGGATGATGAATTAGTCTTTTGAGGTGTGAAAGAGCTGAACATGAGAAAAACAAGTTAAATAAACCTTAAATATTAAGATGAACCAACCTGCCACAAACGCTCTTGTGGCAGAAAGGCTTGGTTCGCTTTTATGTTTTCAATTTTTTCACATTTAAAGAGATTTAAAGAGAAGTTTACGGGACAGAATTCAGTACAAACCTTTGTCGTTCCTGTAGAACTGTTTTGATTATTATGAAAAGTAATAACCATAATTTACACAGCAAGTTTCCACTATGTCTAACTATAAGAAAAGTGAGTTTTAACTCTCTAACAATGCATTCTGGGAAGTCTGCATAAATGCTACTTTTGTGTCCTTTAAACTTAATTTCATGAATCGAATTCATTCATTCAACTTATCATTTTAAGTTCAACAGCCGCAAGTGTTAAGAACCTCATTTTTAGCCATTTTAAGTTTAATTAACTAGAACTTAACAAAGCTCATACATTTAAATTAAGTAAACTAGATATGTTTACTTAATTAAACTCCTTAATGATGTTTATGTGTAGCGAGTAGTGTGATACTATAAGACTTTAAATGCCTGTCAAATGTATATTTCATTTTCTAAATGTACTGATGCAAATGAATTATTGTTTTGTCCTTTTGGGATGTTATGTTGCGATATCATTACACTACCATACGTCTTAAGGGTAACTATTTGTCTGTATGGGATAATAATCATCTAAAAAGCACTATTGACAAACTTTGGCAATATGTGCTGCGACAAAACGACATAAACTACAACAGAATATTGACATGATCTCTGTTCACAGGCAGCAGGTTCAAGTAAATCCATCTTGACATAAAGGCAGCGCTGAACAAGCCACTGCTGGTAAAGATGCCTTGTCAGTAATAAGGAAACGATATCTCCCTCATGCTTCAATGTATACTGACAAATTTTACCATAAAAATGTCATCGTACATCAGCCCATCCAAGCAATGCGCGTGTTTTTAATTTATTAGTCAAAGTTAATATGACAGGTTTATGCCGTTTAAACACAGCTTCTGCCAGACTTCATGTAACAGCAGCAGAACATCACCTCAGAGTACAGCATGTACGACACAGCTCTGACTGTACGAAGCACATCTGTAGGCGCAGGTTTTAGTCGAGCGGAGAATTGCTATCGACGAGCACAAGAGGGCGCTCTGATCTCTTCTATGGCCTTGAACTCGGTGCAAAAACTCTAAGCAGAGAGTAACAGACTTGTTGTGAGAAACGCTGCTCTAATTCTGTCAGGTTGTCTCAGAGGTTATTTGTATGTCAGACTCATCCATACAGCCAGAACCACCAGAGGACATATGCATACACAAACAGATGAGCCGCACCGGTTTCTCCTGTACTGGACATTATGTGCGAAGCTCCTGCCTCCTGCTTTGCATCAAGCTCACTTTACCTTCACTTGTTTTACTTGATAATTTGTAAATGTCTTGTGTGACTAATCTCATCACTTAAACCAGATGGCACGAAGCCAGCTGCTCGAAAGGAGGGTCGGGTGAAACTACTTCCACATGTGGATGGGAGACACTGTTTCAGGAAAAAGGCATGTTTCACTTTGAGTAGCTCAACTGAGCTGTGGAAGTTCTTTCTTTGTTCGTCTGGAGTGTTTACAGGCACGGCCCGTGACGGGGAAAACCAAACAGAACGAGAGTCCTGTAGAAACCTGTGGGAGCAAAACACCAAACAAAGACATTTGCATCATCTTTTGTTTGTGTGTGCGCTGTGTTTTTTTAATTTCTTCTTTATCAAGGTGATCGGCAGTGACCCTACTGTAACCAAACAATGAAAGTTGTGTGTTTTTGACTCAGTGAACAGCCAGTGTTTATCCCGGTTGCTAAGGAAACAAGACAACACCCTCACCTGAGACCTCGTGCTTCAGGTGTGTTCTGTCCCTCAGTACTGCAGAGGAGGACAAACACACTCGGCTGATAATAGCATGTAATGCAGTTGGACAAATAGAAAAAGAGAACACGACGTTACATGTGGAGAGGGAGATAGCATATCACAGCCTGATGTATGTGTGCTGACATTTCACTTCTCCTCACGGACCGAGCACTCCGCCTGAAGTTCAGGCCAGGAAATGGTCTTTAGTGGTTTGTTACAAGTGGGCCATGCCAGGACATGTTTCCTGTGCTCTTTGCGTGTCCATGAGTAGCACCTCTAGCTCCCCACATAATAACAGCTTATTAGGCGTAGCACAGTAAAAACTTGATTTGTATATCCTAAACCCAACAAAAGGAGACATTAAAAAGGAGTGGCTCAAAGCCCCGAATCAGAATCAGTCCAGCTTTGAATTATAGGCCACTGATACTGTTGTAAGGAACTTTTTTTTATTGAACAAATAAAAGCTAATCTTACAAGTAAAAAGGTGAATTCACAAGCAGTAAAATGTTCCTTTGTTGAATTTGTTGAATGGCAGCTTATGGTGGCTAACGTCAGACATGAATCTACTTGTGATGCTGTTGTCTTTTACCGTAATGCTTGCTTGTAGCACAGACTTTCTTTA